GGGAAACCAAGGAAATCTTCGCCCATGGGTCGTTCAACCTGCGGAAGTGGATGTCGAACTCGCCGGTCCTAATGGCCGTCTTCAGAGAGAATGGAGACGGCGTCGAAAAGTTCGACGTAGCAGACTGGTATAATGTACTGGGCATGCAGTACAATCCGGGAACTGACTCCATGAAGCTCAAGGTGCCGGCCCAAGGCGCGATACCCGAGATCGTCACGAAAAGATCTGTGTTAAGTGCCATCGCTTCAATCTTCGATCGCATGGGCATCGCAGCTCCACTCTTGGTACATGCGAAGCTGCTGATGCAAAAGATGTGGTCGTTAAATCTGGCTTGGGATGATCCAGTGCCGCAGGAGGTCGAGAGAGACTTCAAAACATGGTCTAAGGAACTGAAATACCTGGATTCCATTGTAATCCCACGAAGCTACTGGCAACATGACACTCAGGACTCGAGAGTTTTGCACGTATTCTCTGATGCGTCTCGATATGCATATGGTTTCTGTGCATATATTGTTTCGAGATCGGCTCAGGGTTGTACGAGCTCATTCCTTCTCGCCAAGTCCAGAGTGGCACCACTGAAAAACGCAACGATCCCGCGACTCGAACTCATGGCAATGACTCTGGCGGCCGAGGCTATCGACTATATTCGAACGCACTGCGGTATCGCGTTCGACGAACAACACGTATGGACCGACAACTCGGGAGTATACTTCCAAGTCACTTCGGAGCAACCAGAGAAACTGGCAACATTTGCACGAAATCGTGTTCTCAAGATTAAGCGTCTCACCAACGGCACTGAGATTCATCATGTCCCCGGAGAGCTAAATCCAGCTGATTTGGTGAGCCGCGGCTGCACGTTCAAGGAGTTCAGCGAGAGCATCTGGCTAACAGGGCCAAAGTTCATCACGGAACCAGCGCATAACTGGCCAAGGCTCGCGAAACAAAAACATCTAGTCATCGACGCTCATATGGTCGGAATCGAAGAGACACCGTTCAAAAGCTTCATTGTCACAAGACCAGAACCACCGATACAGGTCAGCGTCAATTTTATCGACAAACCAACAGCCGAGCGTCCTCCAGCGGTAATTCTGCGATTCGACACGTGCAGTCGATGGTCGATCTATCTCCGAGCAATAGTCCGATTTCGGAGGGCGATCGATCATTGGAGACATCGAATCACGAAACGCGAATTGACAATGCCAATACTCCAAGCGGAACTCACGCGTGCTGAGGAGTTTATCGTCTCGCAAGTACAAGCAGAATGCTATGGCAATGAATACCGATGCCGCCTCACAGATTCCGGCCTACCGAGAAAGTCAACATTGAGAGTGTTCAACCCATTTCTCAAGGACAATCTCATCGCCCTCGGGGGAAGATTGGGAGATCATTTAGGTGATCTTCCCAAGAACCCTATAATTCTCCCACCCAAACATCCGGTTACGAAGATGATCCTCAGGTACATCCACGAGCGCAGTTGTCACGCTGGCCCTCGACTAGTCCTCATGACGGCTCGCCAGAAGTATTGGGTCCCGCAGGGCAGACGACTAATCCAGAATTTGATCCACGGCTGCAAGAACTGTAGAGTATTCCATGCAAAACCCGTATCAACGCCCATGGGACCGCCGCCCGACGTCCGAGTGACGAAATCCCACCCGTTTGAACACGTCGGAACAGACGTGATCGGCCCTTTGTTCATCAACGAAGCAAAGGAACAGAAGAAGATATGGATAATCATCTTTACCTGCTGTGCTATGCGGGCCATACATCTAGAAATATTGAACTCACTATCAACAACCGAGTTCATGATGAGCCTTCGCCGCTTCAAGGCACGTCGTGGCTGCCCTAGAACCTTCTACTCGGACAACGCCAAAGCGTTCAAACGAGCAGCGGAAGATCTCAAGGTCTTGGGAGAAATCATGCAGGGAACGACGGTCCGGGAAGCACTCGCCAGAGACGGAATCGAGTGGAAATTCTCAATTGAAAAATCTCCATGGCAGATGGGATTTACGGAGCGCCTTGTCGGGAGCGTCAAGTCAGCACTCAGGAGGGTACTCGGGAAGGCGGTGGTCAACGCACAGGAGATGGCAACCGTGCTGTGCGAAGTCGAGCTAATGGTGAACAAGCGACCACTCTGCGAGGTGCCAGACGCTGAGCATATCGATGTGTTAACGCCATTGCATTTTCTGGTTATCCGCACCGAAGACCCCACCCAGGACTCGGCTGTCCCCGCTAAACTCAAGTCGAGCGATGTATTAAAGCGATGGAGACACAAGAAGACGATTGTCGAGTCCTTGTGGAAACGTTGGGAACACGAGTATTTGTTGCTCCTCCGCAATTTCCATGAGACTTCTCCTCGCGATTTACAAACGCTCAAGGTTGGACAGGTTGTCATTATAAAGGATACCCAGACGCCAAAACTATGTTGGAAGATTGGGCGAGTAGAGAAGTTAAATATCAGTAGGGATAACATTGTCAGATCATGTATGTTGAGGATGGGGAACGGTAAAAATCTACAGAGACCGTTATCGCTTTTATACCCTCTGGAAATCGAATAATCCATCGAACTGAAGATTGAATAATTACGGCGCATAGAAAAACGTAAAATATTGTAATGATCTCAATCCCCGCCCCGGAGTGTCGACGGTGCTTAGAGAAAAGGAACCGCCGACGGTTCGTAGCAGCCGACATCGGCGTCGCCGCGCAAGAAAAAAAGAGATGTAAACAGTCAGTGAGTAGCGAGAACGTGATCAACCGCGGCACCGCTATAGAATATTGTGAAAACCGAGGAATAAATCGTTCGAGGACGACTTGTGCAGCAGCATTCGGTGTCTTTCATCTACGCAGCGACTAGCACGGAACAAGATTGGTATTGGAACTTTCTCTGAATGCGGACGCGGAGTACGCCTTGACTGCAGATCCGGATATTTCCACTTGCGCTGATTGCATCGATTCATCCCTCGGATCTTGGTCACACAGAAATAACAATCGTCCTCGTGGTCACTAGGTTGACGCCAAATCATCGGTTCACCGAAGGACATACTCTTCGTCTTCCCTTTAGACCAGCTCCCTAGTGCTCCAACACAGGCGCTGCGTACCACTTCAGGGGTCCAGGGCTTCACATTGAGTTGGCGACCGAAGTAAGCGGCGTACAATTGTCTAATTCATGACAGACACGACAATCGATTTTTCTTGAAGTAAATTTTATTCGATTAGTCATCAGCCTCCGATCTACCTGACGGAGGTAGTGATCATCCAAATAATCATCGCAAACGAAGTGTTATAATTACCTTGAAGTAAGATCGATTTACACGTCGATACTATCGCTCTTTACCAGACTGCTGTGAGTCGGACCGCATCGTCTCCATGCGTCCGGGTGGAGAGGGACCGAGGGGAAGCGGCACAGAGAGGACTCGGAGCCAGCGCACCCGGAGCTAGCGCATGTGTAGTGAGTCTGGCGATACCGAGTCGCCGCGAAGCGGCGACCGGGAGCGCTAGTCTATCTATCTATATATATAAAACGTATGTCTGTCTGTTTGTCTCTTTGTATGTCCGGGGTACCCTATAGACTCGAAAACGGCTGAACCGATCGTCGTGAAAATTTAGGAGCGTGTTCTGGGGGATCCAGCGGTGGTTATAGGGGGGTCGTTTCTCCGATGCGATGAGTCCTTCTACCTTGAAAAAATTATTTGAGTGCCCCACCCACGAAAATACGAAAACTCGGAAAAAAATTAAAAAATCCGAAATTCGCAAAATTCACAAACGCCTGAACCGATCGCCGCAAAAATTTAGGGGTGGGCTCCCGGGAGCTTCAGGAGGGTCATACGAGGGTCGTCGTTCCCATGTGACGGGTCCTTCCACCACAAAAAAAATATTTGAGTGGGCCTCTCACCGAGAATCAAAGATTTCATCAAGGGGAAGACGGGAATTCTCAGGATTTCTTATCGGCTGGACCACTATGAGGGGGTGGATTCTCGGGAGTCTCCGTAAGAAGGCTATCGGGGGTTGCCGTCGTCATTGGCCTCTGTCTCTCTACTAATGAATCTCGCTGAAAATTGTCTGTAGCCTTGAAGGGTATAGATTTTCCGGAGAACATATGGAATAAAAGCGAGGGTACGGGACACAGGGGAAACGGAAAGCGGGGACACGGGAAAGTGGGGACACGGGGAAAGCGGGGAAATGGGAAAGTGGGGAAACAGGAAAGCGGGGAAACCGGAAAGCAGGGAAGCGGGGAAACGGGAAAGTGGGGAAACGGGAAAGTGGGTGAGCGGGGAAGTGGGGAAGCGGGAAAGCGGGAAAGCGGGGAAACGGGAGAGTGGGGAAACGGGATAGCAGGGAAACGGGAAAGCGGGGAACGGGACGCGCCCCCAGAGCACGCGCGACCAAAGCAGCCGCACCCGGAGCCAGGGCATTCGGAGCCAGCGCACTCGGAGCCAGCGCATCAGTAGTGAGTCTAGCGATACCGAGTCGCCGCGAAGCGGCGACCGGGAGCGCTAGTATATATATAAAAAAAACAGATAAAAAAATATATATGTATATATATAAAAAAAAGACGACATCGACACCGACGGGAAAGAAGGCGTGATTCGCACGTTCGAACAAGCGCCAGGTGTCTGTGCTGGTCTCGCGTGTTTCGAACTACTCGGTGGGAATTCGTGGAAAATATCTGGGAAATCTCGCGTAAGCTCAGTATCAAAAGCCAGATCCCGATTCTCTTCGTCCTCGTTACGGATACCCTCCATTGGTTTCCGAGAGTAAATTCCGTTCGTGTCGGACACCGAGCGCAGTAATCAATCCTGGAGGCGACCTGTCTCACGTCAGAACATCTTCTCCGATCAGTCAAGACCGATCTGGCAAGCATTATGGCGGTCTAGGAAGTGAAATCCGAGGAAGGGAAGACCCTATTCCAAGTGGATAACTCTACGAAGTCGAAAGAAAGAAAGATGAAACTATGTATTGCCGATGCGTTCGGGAACGTCGAGAATCTTGCGGTGCGAGGATGATACTCCTTAGAGTTCTAGAACTTATCATCCAGCAGAAATCAGGCGAGCATAATCACTTCCCGGAACACTCCGAAGTCATACGTAAAAGGCTTTAACCATAATGAAGACGGCCGTGCTCAAGAAAACAGAATATGGCGTGAAGGAGCTTCATTCGGATGTTCTCGTTGAGACTTTTCGCGTGGCGGACGAAATTGATCAAGACGAAGCCAGTGTCTCGCTGCCCGCTTATGGTTCTGCGGAATCGTCTTTGTACCGAGCTCGCGCCCCTGTCAGACCTCTGTTGCCGAAATCGCGAGCTGAGATCGATCTTCGCGGAATATGGACGAAGACCAATGGGAACGAGGACTCCCTGCTCTTCAATGACGGCACCAATGATCGACGCTTGGGTTTCAGCATCAATGAAATGATCCGAATCCTGTGCGATGCTCCTGGCGTTTATATGGATGGAAAGTTTCGTGTTGTTCCTCAGTTGTTCCTGCAATTGTGTACGCTTCATGCTTTCTATAAGGGTGGAATGTTCCCGCTCGCCTACTTCCTCCTGCCCGATAAACGCACGGAAACGTACACGCGAATGTTTCGAGTCCTGAAGGATCACGCGAGAGGTCTCGGTAAGGTATTCAGACCCGTGAAGTTCCAAATCGATCTCGAAAGTTCGGTCATGAACGCTATCGAAGACGAATTCGGTGAGGCCGTCATGAAAGGCTGTAACTTCCACTTCGCCCAATGTCTCCGGCGAGAGGTTCAGAATCTTGGTCTCGCATCAGAAAAGGAAAATTTTTTAAAAAAAAAAGTACAACTCGTAATTTATTCGAAGTAGGCTCCCTGATTAGATATACACTTCGACCACCTTTCTGGCAGGTTGTGGATGCCCTTGTGATAAAAGGCTTCATTTTTCGAATCGAACCATCCGACCACCCATTTTTCGACTTCTTCAAAATCGGTGAACCGCTGATTATTCAAAGCGTGGCTCATTGATGCGAAGAGATAATAATCTGAGGGGGCCAAGTCTGGAGAATAGGCAGGGTGTGTCAGAACTTCCCAGTTCAAAGCGCTCAAAGTTTCCTGCGTCGGCTTCGAGGTGTGACACGGAGCGTTGTCGTGGAGCAAAATGACGCGATTCCGAACTTGGTCCCAATTTTGGTCGTTTTTCTTTGACCGCACGGTTCAGATCGATTAACTGCTGTTGGTAACGGGCAGTAT